GTGTGGGGGGCAGGGGTTCTGTTTGGGCCCCCTGCCTCTCAGGCATGGAGTGGGGTCTCGCAGAGGCAGCCAGATCTTTCTCAAGGGGGAGCAGGGTCTAATTGGCGTGTTTGGCCAGCGAGTGACCCTGGTTTTTCTCCTCGTGGCAGCACCGAGGTGTTCATCTGCACAAGCCCGATCAAGAAGTACCGCTACTGCCCTTACGAGAAGGTGAGCGGGTCGGAATCCCAGCCCCCCCATCCCGTGCTACGCTGCCCAGGGAAAGCCAGCTGACCCCCGCATGCTTCCCGCTGTAAAGTGATATTTCCCTGTTGCACCGGTTTTGTTCCTGCGCATCTTCGCAGAGCAGCAGCTCCGCTGTCAGCCGAGCTCTGCCATTTGCATGCACCGAGGCACTTTGTCTTAATATTTCATCGTGATGTCGAAAGCTGCTTGGCTTTAAAAGAACTTGTGCTCCAGCAGCATCTGAATCTTTCTCACTAGTGAACTTATTAAGTGAGATGTGCTCCCTGTCCGGGGCCTCGTGCCGGGCGCTGCTGCCGCTCTGCTGAGCAGCCCCGGCCCCGTCCGTCAGCCTTCCCGTGCTCACCGCTCGCCTCTCGCCTTCCAGTACGCCTGGGTGGAGAAACACTTTGGCCCCGAGTTCCTCGAGAAGATCGTTCTGACGCGAGATAAAACGGTGGTTTCTGCTGATCTGCTCATAGACGACAGACCTGATATAACAGGTAAGGGAGGTGCGGGGCGGCAGGAGTGGCCGGACACAGCCCCGAGGGGCAGACGGTGTCTGGGGGTGATGGGCGCTGGTCCCTCTCCACTTAATTAGGCACTGGTTAGGGGTTTGTGTCCGCAGGCTCCTCATGTTGGAGTAGGGTCAACCTCTGCATCTCGCGGAGTTGTCCAGAGAGGCCATCTCTCTCCTTGCTTCGCAGGGGCTGAGCTGAACCCCAGCTGGGAGCACGTGCTCTTCACCGCTTGCCACAACAAGCACCTGCAGCTGAAGCCCCCCAGCCGCAGGCTGCAGTCCTGGTCCGACGACTGGAACGCC